CCAAATAGCTTTTCAGCAGAACAAAATACCAGCACATCAAAATAATAGCAATGCAAACGCCATAGACCTGCTAAATAGACTAGCAAAGAAAAGCTCCAAACAATGGCAACAAAACAGACCAAATAACACTAGTAGAATGAAGAAGAAATGTGAAAAGAGAAACGTAAAAACAATAAAGCTTCCTCTAAGCTAGTGGGGTGATACTGAAACCTCCCCTAAGCTAGTGTGTTATCACCAAAATACTCCAAGGCACTGTTTTCCTTGAGAAATTTCATGGTTTGCAGTGAAGAGCTTTCCAAATTCCCATACATGAAAAGACTTAAAAGGAATTTTTTTTCCAATGTTTTCAGACGATCTATCAGGAGAAGAAAGGGGTTTTCCTCTGACTTCGTTTGGTTATATTTACATTGGAAGTTGCATACCCCATGCTGTTGTTTAGACCTGGAACACGGCAAAAATATAACAGTAAAGTAATTGCATGAGTGGTTTACACCCCTTCTCAAAAAATAGGAGATGAGGTGTACACGACAACAGAAAGGACTTACGCCTTTGGGGCATTTTGGCAACTAAATGAGTGACTTGGTCATTTTCCAATTGGACTATCCATGAGATTATTCTCAAAACTCATTTGTCCCCTAAACAACTACAAGTCATGTTTTAAATTACCCCTTCCCGTTCTGTCAAAATTTTCATCTTTTTTGTTAGCCAAGCTGAGGAGGTGACTATATGGCAAAATTTTGATCTGCATTTTGGTCCTTCAACACCTGTCTCACCTCTCATCTCTTCTCCGTTTCTCCCTTCTCTCTATTCTCTCACATGTTTTTGCCATATATCCTTCTCTGTCTTCCAGGGATGGAGACTATTTTTTTCCCATCCGAAATGAAAAAACATATGTACATACATAAAAATGTGTTTACTAAGCTAGGACTTGTTAATTAAGGCTACTTATCAATGTTTAACATGATACAAACCTTAAATGTCCAAGGTCCACAAGGAAGACAGCTAGACAACACGATCGAGGGAAGACTACTCGATGATACAGTTGAGAAAATAAAGGACTAGTATAGAACCTAACAGCTAATGGATAGACATACCATTCACAATCCTTGATGTCGATCTATCAGTACTACACAAGGGGAGAAAGGAACACTAGAACGGAGCGGTAGTGGAGTAGGCTGTGTTAAATAGCTAAAATATACACCTAGAAATGATTTTTATTTTTTATTCCTGATATGACCTGGGCTACACATTGTTCCATTCCTGCTCTCTTATGTGTCTGATTTTCTAAATAAATAGGTACATAGTTATTCTCTTACTTTTTTCGGTGTTCAACCATTTTAAGCAGCCACATTAACTTTTTCTGCTCCTCCAATTATTTTCCAACAAAGTGGAGAAGGAGAATTTGTCACTGTATAACATAAACTTTGAAGCTTGCTAAACAGATATGGGTCTTCAAACATGAAATTGAATATTTGAAAAAGTGATGCTGACAATAGTGTTATGCTTTAGGTAAGTACATTCAACACCATGAAATACCACAAAGCAGCACAATAAGGAAATAAAATAAAAGAAGATAACAAAATGTCTAAATTTGCATTGAAAGGGTGTGCGATCTCTAAATTTCTGCAAACAAATCTCAGAACAATAATCATTTATTTCTTGTGTTTGGAAAGTCCTTAAAATTCAGTTCAAACATGGCTTTCAATTGGAAAGACTACGCAGAACCAAGCGGGAGAGGAGTATCCGATAGATCCCTTTTGTTTTCGTTGAACATCACATAAGTACTGGAACAACTAGAAGTCTAGAACAAATGTGAGGATTGAAGAACCCCAATGGCAATGCAATAACTTGAAATTCAGATCACATTCAAACCAACACGAAAATGCATCATATGCAAAACCAAAGTTAACTTGATGTATGTTGAGAGAACAATAATTAGATACCATTTGTTGCAGATGAACCTGCCGCTGCTCGTTTTCTCTGCTAAGATCTTTCTTAAGATCTTTCCACTGAGCTTCAAATTTCAACAGGGCCCTGCCCTGCTCTAAGAAGGACTTCTCAAGGTGGTACCTCAATTCCTGAAAGTTTTGATGCAATTTTGCTATTTAACAGCATAAAAATGAACAAAAATAAATCTAGTAAGCCACTACAGGCCAATCAAATTGTAACAAAAAGAAGTGAAATTTAAAACATGCAGCCATTATCAAAGGCAAATGGAATCATGGGTATTTGATAAAAAAACTCACCAATTGCATTATCCAATTCCTCTGAGCAGTTGGCCATTTCAGAGCTCCAGCACAAAAACCCACCTGGGTTTTGTGCCTTTATAGCAGATTAAGCTTGTGGGGGGATCTCTGAAACTGCAGTTTTCGGGGAATTAGAAGATCCCACATGCAAAAAAAAGTGCAATTGGGTAGAAAGCAAAAGCAGATTGAAGGAAGAGGAAGCAAACTTTACAGTCAACTATGGTGACTGTAATGGAAATTGAGGGCAGTAGGGTGAAGGCGGCTTCGATTCCTCCGCCCACCAATTAGCTCTCTGTTGCATGAATTCATGAGGAGAGCTGGGCTTTTATATTTTATATTTTTTCCCATTTTTGGGGTGAGAAGAGAGCTGGGTTTTGTGAGAGAAGAAAATCATAGAGCAGTTTGTATGACCAAAGTGGACTGTGATGAACAGAAGACTAGGAATTCTTGGGAGGATTTCTTAACGAGAGGAGGAAGAAGGTTGGCTGCTTCTTGGCTCAGGCCCACCAGCAAGTCTATTGGTGGGCCGATCCCACTTTCTATTTCACTGAAATAAATATAGAGTAACGTTATTCGAATACCTTTTTTTACTTGTTACATATTTTTATTAATTTTGATCCTTTGATTTTCTTATATTCATTTAAATTGACGGTCGAAAATTAAAAAGAATATGTGACAAGTAAAAATGAGTATGTTGATTGCACCATTCTAAATATAATTTGAATAGAGTTTCACATATAGAACCTAAGACGTGATATCGATAGGGGATTGGCAGGGAAGACTGGCAAAGGCATCACCGATACTCTGCGGGCTGTCCATAGGGGATTCAGAAGGATATGTGATTCAAATTATAAAAATTGAGCTGAAACAGACCTCAATCTTCTCAACTCTCGCACTGTATTGATCAGGAGTTTCTTCAATGCCTCCTTGCAAGAGCAGTGAATCTGCAATCTCCATTACTCGGTTGGGAAACGCCAACTCCACAAAACTATGAAGGTTCAAGTCGCCGGGAAATCTGTCGTCAGCCGGCCTTTTCCCTGTCAACATCTCTAACAGAGAATCCCAAACCTGCAGACGTCTCCATTTGTGGACAGCTCACCTCCCATACCATACTCAACTCATACGAAACAAAACAGTCACCGCCATTGTAAACAAAATCTAGGATGAGGATATTTACCTGGAGCTTGTCTGATTTGCAGAAACAGTGGTTCGTAGTGAGAGAAATTTTGCTAGTCTGAAGTTGGAAACATTTCCAGCCAACTCGTTGTCCAAAAGAACATTGTTCAGTTTGAGATCACAATGAAGTATTGACGTTTCACAATGGTTATGGAGATAATCTAGTGCCCATGCAACATCAATAAGATGTCTAACCTCTGAAGAAGAATTAAACTCTTGGTTGGGGGATTTATTACTTCGTCATCTCCAGTAGTTGGATGGAGCCACTCCTGTAAGCTCCCATTCTCGAAGAACTCATAAACTAGAGCCTTGAAACCATTACCACGAAAATCAACACTTGAACAAGCAGTTATAATCTTGACGAGATTTCGATGCTTGATATTTCTCAAAGCCTCACACTCGACTATGAACTCTTTGATGCTCCACGGTGTAACAAGTCATACACCTTAACAGCAACATATTGAGATCTATCATCATCATTGTCAAGAACTCCTTTGTGACGTAGGAAAAAAAGGAGGTTCGGGGAGAACGGGGATAGATAACCTGGGATTCGCTTAACTAGGGGCAACGAAACTTGCTTGACGTTGCTAATCATAGATTCACTCAACACGACCAAGCCAATGCTTGTTTTTGAAGGAGAAAATCATTCTCTTCTTAGATTAATTTTTAATTCACTAATCAACTACTTTAAAAATACATATGGAACCCTTTAATGGCTGGTTTGGTATTGCTGTGCTTTGAAAAAAAGCTGTTTCTGCTGTGCTGTGAGAATAAGCGGATGTGAAATAAAGTTGTAGAGTGTTTGGTAAACTTTTTTGTAAAAATGCTTTTGAAAAAAAAAGCAGTATTATAATGTTTGGTAAACTTTTATGTAAAACAGATGTGAAAAAAAACCGATTTTTCAAAGCTGGGTTTTGCAGCTTCTTATTTTTGGTTTTTTTTCACCCAAAACTGTGAAAAAAAAGCTGAAGCTGAATGTTTACCAAACACAAAAGTTTTTTTGATACCAGCTTTTTTCAGAATCACCTCAGTACCAAACCAGGCATAAATAGAGGGATTATAAAGCATTGGTAGGATAAATATCATATTTAGTACTAGGATAGCTACTAGGGAACTCAATTAAAATACTGTAGACACATCCATTTGTGAGGTTTTTCGAGACTCCGTGTAGTTACACCCCTTGATCCAGAGGCACCACTTCAGGAAAGAAGTCCACTCATTTGAATCCATTCTCAAACTTCTAGAACATGTTTCAGGAGTGATTTTGATACTATATAAGAAGTATCAAACCTTTGAACCTAACAAACACAACTCCGCCTCCGAAGAGGGGTGAAAGTTTGAATTCTGGAAACCAGGAAGACCGGTAGCCCGATAGAGCCTACCTGTCGTAGGTTTGCAGAGAGCAATAATCTTTGCTTCTGACCCCATCGACTGGTAGCCCAGAACTGTCTTCCTTTCCAAAACTTCACTTTTATTTTTGAAAATATCTAACAGCTCGAACGTAACCTGTTTACAATGCATAAAAGCCAAATAGCCCTATTCGTGTATCTTAAGAAATTACTCTCCAGCATGAACAACTAGCCATAAATTATCTGCATTAAGTTTAGGTCTCATACATTGAAGCATATAGTTTCTATCTCAATATGGTCCTTAACAATAGCATTATAACAGATAGTTTCAGTGACTTCTCTGTTTAATTAGAACCAAGTTGCCTCGTACAACTTACCTAGTTGGAGACCTTAACTGATTGTTTAGGATCTGAGAGCTTCTACGTGTTCTTATATTTGGTTTCCAAAGGTTCATCAAATACGAGACTCCTTCTGCTACCGTTGCCTTCCTTTTTTCCTTGAAGTTCCAAAGCTCTGGCACGGGAAACCTGCCGCTGGGATTGTACTCATTCAACTCTGCCAAGGCAGTTTTCACAGCTTGAAAAACTTGCTCACCAAACTCCTCCCTTAAGCCCCTCAACTTTTCATCTTGTTCATCAATGAATTCCTGCACACCAACATCCAGTATAAAATCAGTTAGCAAGGTGGATGGAAAGTACGCGGTGCCTTAAAACAAATTACAGCTTCGAAGTACAAGAAGAATGGGCCGGAAAATTGGACAAAACTTAAATGACTTGTGGAAGTAGTAAGCACTGCATACCGTTGGCTTTTGTTGCTCATTCATTATAATCCTGAATGGTTGCCAATTTGGATCTCTCAGATGCTGCTCCCATAGAGAACATAGCTTCTTGGCCTTACCATCTAGACCGGCACCTCTTTTTGAAGGACAGGGCCTTTTGAGCGCACTACGGAATGGTTTATTGTCAAGCTCTCCCATTCTCTTCACGCCGATACAAGTTTGGCTTTTTGAGTCACTTAGTCCCTGCAAGGGGGAAAAATTAGACATTACAAGGAAGTAATAAGAACATTATCACACGAAAAAGAAACCAGCTTCCTTCAGCAAGTCACACCTACTTTGTACTGTACAAAACGTTAACCAAAAAGTCTGTAGGCATGAACTTATGAAGACAAAAAAGGTTGCCATATATACCTCAGTTCCATCCAAAGAGGGATATTAATAGACAGAAATCAATAGGAAATTAAACTGCGGGTGAACATTCAAACCCAAGAATAGCAAATATACATACAATGATGAGCGCTTTGCGAGCCTCCTGCAGCTCAACATTCTTTTCATGCTCGTTGACAATAAGTACTCCATTAAGGGCTTTGTTATTGCCCAACTCCTCTTCCAGTTCCTTAAACTTTCCTTCAATTTCATGGATATTAACTTCCAGCCCATCCACATGTTTGCGGTTGGTGTCACGCTGCTTTTCCAATATGCTGATTTTGTTGTGAAGTTTAACCTCTTGGTCCCGCCATTGCTAATCAACCATAGAACAACATTTCAACGGATCACACTCATATGATATTCATTAATCTGAATCTCTACCTAAACATAGTCAATGGGAAAGCCAACCTTTCGTTCTTCTTTCAGCCATTCCACTGTTTCATCAGCATTATGTTGCAGCTCATTCTGAAACAAAAAGGAATATATACAAGTGGAAGTTCATGGCAGCGTCAAACTCTATACATAAATCCAAAGTTAATGGATTTTAAGTTGAGAGAATACCGATTCTTGCAGTTCTACCTCTTTCTGATAAAGATCTTTCTCGAGCTCTTTGTTTTCTGCTTCCCTCTGCTGAAGATAATTCTTAAGCTCTTTCTTTTGATCTTCACTCTCCTGAAGATTTTTCGTAAGCTCTCTCTTTTCAGCTTCAATCTTCTGAAGATTTTCATTTAACCGGTTAATTTGTGCTTCACTCTGCTCAAGTTGTTTCTTGACCTCATTGTTTTTAGCTTCACTCTGAAAAAGTTGGTTCTTAAGCTTGTTCTTTTGAGCTTCACTGAGTTCAAGTTCTTTCTTAAGTTCTCTCCCTCGAGCCTCACAGAACTCGAGTTCTTTCTTTAGCCCTTTATTCCCATGATAGTTTTCAAGCTCTTTGTTTTGAGCTTCACTCTCTCCACGATCTTCCTTATTCTTTTGAGCTTCAGTCTGCTCAAGTACTTTCCTAAGTTCTTGGCACCGAGCTTCACTCCGCTCAAGCTCCTTGGTAAGATCCTTCTTCCGAGCTTCAGATTTTATCAAGGCTGTGTACTGGTCCAATACTACTTTTTCAAGGTGGTCGCGTAGTTTAATTACATTTAGATGCAGTTTTCCTATTCAACAACATAAAATACAAAAATAAGTAAGCAATTACAGAAATGAAAAAGAAGAAGAAAAGTTCAGTCATACACTCAGTCTATAAGAAAAACACCCCAAAAATGAAGCAAATGCCATTTCAGTTAGTAAACTTTCCACCCTTTCCAAACCCTCGAAACCGACATCAACATATTAAAGTCGAATCAGAAATTTTAACTTCAATGAAGAAAAAAAAATCAGACTGACCAATATCTGGTTCTTCTGAAGACATTGTAAAACCTGCAATACAGAACAAAATACCGAAGATTCAGAAATCAATCTTATCCATGCAGAGCAACTACAACAAGGAAATAAGGTATAAAATATATAAACATAAATGAATGAGTTTTTCGGAAACAAGTAACGGAGTTCTCTAATTGTTGGTGTGTAGCTAAGCCAAATGGTGAAGGCAATACTACACCTAATTTCAACAGCAGGTTCCAAAAGATGAGAAATGCAAGGTAGTCTCAGAACACTAACATTATATTTCATCATCCTATTTCTCCGATTTTGCTTAGCAACCAAACACAATGCAAACCAGAAAAAGGTAGTCTTTTTGTGTTTGGTTGCTACGAAAAAGGTCAGAAAAACAGGAAAGTTGATGAATGGCAGAGTCATAAGTCCTGAAGTTTCAATGTTGACTATCAGTAACATTACTATTAATTGATTTTCCATTTTGTTCTTAATTTTTCTTAGCAACCAAACACAATGGATGTTATTTTCTAAAATAAAAAGCAGCAGATGCCCAAAATAAATCAACGTGTAAACCAAAACAAGTGGTCTTTTGTGTTTGGTTCCTATGAAAAATTCAGATTGGCCGGAATTTTTTATGAATGGCAGTGTTCTGAGTCTTAAATTTTCAACTTTTCACTTTCAGAACACAACCACATGAACTGATTTCCCACTTCTGTCAAGACCTTTTCTCGGCAACCAAACACAACTCATGCTATTATTAATATACAAAACAGAATAGACCCAAAATAATCAAGATTTAAACCCCAAAAAGTGGTATTTTGTTGTTTGGTTGCTAAGGAAAAAGTCAGCTTGCTACGAAAATCAATGGATGATAGGGTTCCTGACTCAAAGTTTCACTCTCACTTTCAGAAGACTGCCATGAACTGATTTTCCTCTTCTTTCTGACATTTTCTTGACAACCAAACAAAATGTATATCATTTCAAAAACACACCATGAACAAAATCATCCACAAAATTCTCACCTTGAAACAGAACGCCCAAGAAAAATCTCAACCTTTTGAAATATTTAAAAAAGAAGTGAAGTTTTGGAGTGAAGTGGTTGAAGGGTTTTGAAAAAAATGAAGTTTACCTTTGCTTCAAGAGATACTCAGAGTTGCATAAGAAAAGAAAAACATCTAAAACCCAAAGAAGCTACTGATCCTTACCCAGAACAATAACAGACTCTATCTCTCTCTCTCTCTCTCTCTCTCTCTCTCTCTCTCTCTCTGTGGTACAGTGGACCGTTGAGACACGTGTAACGAAGAGAATGGGTAACAGACATATGCCTATTGGCAGAGTTCAGCTTTGACCATCAAGGACTCAAGATAGCAAATGGCAAATGGTACTTTGTTTAAAAGTGGATAGAACTCCTTAGTCTTCAGTCACGGACATGGAAATCTTGAGCATTAAGGTTATCTGAAAAAAAATATTGTCCATTAATGCAGCCCTGATGGAAATCCGAAGTACAAGAAGCAAAATAGCAGGAAGGAAAAAGTTAATGGACCAAAACCACAACTAAACCCCTGTATCTTCCTATTAGGCCTTATGAATCTTACTCAACCAATAGTTAAAGAGGGTAAAAAAAGTTTTTATTTTTGTTTTATACGAGGAACTTCAAAGGTTCAAGAAGAGAGCAACTTACATGAAATGGGTTCACCACCACGTGGAGTTTCGATTCAATAATACATTGTCATGTGGAGAAAAACTTGCACGTAGAAATAGATTATTAAACAAGGTGATAGTGAAACAGTTCCATGTAAGTCATTCTCGTACAAAATGGAGCTTTATTCATGATTTGAAAAAAAAGAAAACACGGTTAGGGGGACTAAAACCAGTTGACATGATATCACAAATAAGGACATGCATACTTACTAGTCCAATAATTGAAGCACATCATAAACAAATCATGAAGGAGTACAACTGCTCCCTTTCAACAAAAAATAATAATTTTAAAAACTAAAATAACATTTACATTTTGGTCGAAAATAATTAGCATAGTCTAGGAATTGGTGTAGGCCAACATGGGAGCGATCGAAAGGGGAAAAACGTACGTCCAAGGATCAAACTCAGCAGACTCAGCACCATCTGACCTGTTTCTATAGCTCTCTTGAACGAAGTTCTTGTCCGAAAGTTACACGCTACAATATCTCCATCGAAATCTAGGTACAAAATATCCTCATCGTTGGGGTCAATGGCCACCGCCCTACTCCTTAGCCACCTGTTTCTCTCTCGCCATTCAGCAATTCCTGGATTTTCCACCAGCATTTGGTTCAAGGAAACCTCTTTTAGCAAGCACCATTTTTCAATTTGCCTGCGATTCCATCGACCTGCTGATCATCTTCTGCTTCTTTCAACTCCCAAACACACAAAATGTCAGTGTCGCTTTCGCTGTGCGGCTTACATCCAAATCGAAATGGCACATCCTCAAACGCCCTTGACACACACTAGGCATGGAAACATTGAATGTCGAAACTCAGGCTTTTGATATTCAATGAAACGACATAATTCGTTATTATCAACTATTTCACCGCTATTGGCAGTAGTATCGATAGTGGTATTAAAGTTGTTGAACGGATCCACCCCAATGAGAATGCCACGATAATCCAACCAGTACACCATTCTGATGTGTGCAACGCTTGGAGAAAGAGCGTAAGTAGTAAAGCTAAAACCTAGGGAGTGTGATATAACTGTCTCTCTCCATTCATTAGTCTCAGAAGAGTAGAATTCCACTGTAAACTCGGCAGCATTAATTTCAGTTTGAGGCATCCGCACAACAATGCACCAGTACTCTGCATTAAGCTCGACTTAGAACTTGTATTGTCACCGTTGTGTTCCTCGCGGTTATACTAGGGATGGTCGCATGTGAATCCCATTTGTACTGATCCTTGATGAACTCTAGGTGGGTGAGGAATAGCAACCCATACCTTGGTGAATGGGTTGCACATGTAGTATTCACATTCATAACATTTGGTTGGTCAGCACAAGAGTAAGTCATTATATGTTCCTAATAGGGCTCCTTTTGCTTGGTTTCTTCAAAACAAGGGAGGAAACGCAGAGATAACTTGCATGTTTTCGAACCCTTGCCGGAAGCGAGGACACGGTAAATGACTCCCAAGTCGCATCCCGTATTCTTTTTGGGTTATAATAGATACTGTTTTTCGAAGAGAATAATATCGCGTCCACATCAGTATCTCTTTCGATTACTAATAGATCATGCAGAAGATCATCAATATACGTGTTTAATTTTGAAGATGTTGATCCAGGAAGGGATTGGGATGTACTACTGCTTCCTTTGGTACCTGTCATGGCTAGGAACTTTTTGGAAGACTATGCGATACAGTTCTTACCCCAAGAAGCCCGTGTATTTGAGGATTGCAACGTGTGATCATCAATAAATCACTATCATTTTTTTACTCGAAAAATATTTGAAACGCAAGAAGGGATGCGGAAGCTATGGATTGCAATGCTTCTTGAGTTGAAACTTGGAAATTAACGACAAGTTTCCTTCATCTAGAATCACATGAATCAACAATGGCAATGGCAACGGTTTTCAAAGTTCATGAGTTTGTTTTGCCTGCGATTTGGTTCAAGATGTGATCAATTGAAGAAAATTGAATTAGAGACGGAAGAAGAGAATTGAAGATGTGATCAATCATCTGCATCAACTAGAGAATTGAAGATGTGATCAATCATCTGCATCAACTTATGGACAACTCAAGCTTAGACATGTTGATTTTATTAGCTCAACTTAATGGGAATTCCCTAAAACACTCCAATAAAGAACGGAATAATTGTTCCACTAAATTTTACTAAAGTTCCAAGAATACATGTTCTTGAGTTTCCGAAGTCTCTAGAAGAAAAATTGACGTCTTTAAGAACTACCAATCCCACCAGCAGTAAAGATTGCTCAGTGAGCTACATTATTACACAAGAAAAGGACCACAATTACCAAAAATATAAAGACTAAAATCCTCATCTGTTTGAGCAAGATAATTTAAAAGATAGAAAATTTGGAGGCAAATGAACAACGGTTTGAAACCCCCAACACCTTGACCTCTCTCAACAAAACTCAGTGGCGCAAACCCAAAATGATTTATCCTTCCCTTTCAGCAAGCCATTTCTTGGCTCATCTACCTTTTTGGTCTCCAATCTGCAATTTAGGTTTCAGCGATTTCCTTAGCTTCTTTAGACTTAACCTCATGATATCTTTCCAGCATGATAACCTTCTCCCGGAAGTTGTTGCCTTTCTTCATCTCACTTCATTTAAATTCCGATAACTTATCACTAGTGCTCTCAATGTTTTCCTCATTTTCATCACATACGTAATTCGTAATTGTCGATTGTTCCTTTCCTGATATTTTCCTCTCGTAATCATCCTCTGCCACATACATTCCAGAACCCCTTCCGTGAAGGGCGTCATGTTGTCCACCAGAGAAGATGTGAGTACTCAACGCTTCCCGCCTGGCCACTTCTCTGTTCTGTAATTGATGTTTCAGCATTTTTTTTAGCTCCCTCAGACTCTTCTGCATGATATTCTTTTCAGTCATGCTTGATTCTTCTACACTTGCCACATCCTTGACTTGAAGATTTAAATTGGTATTGGTACTATTTAAATTCTTCAAGCCATAATTTGTGGCAGCAGTTTCTTGGACACGTGCTTCGCCATCTGATCCTAGCTTCTTCCCATCAAGCTTCTTTTCCAACTCAAGTTTTCTTCGCCCATGAGCAGTAGGTCTCGGGTTCGAGACTTGGGAGGAGCCTCTCCATAAATGGGGGTAAGGCTAGCCGACATTCACCTCTCCCAGACCCTGCGTAAAGCAGGAGCCTTGTGCACTGGGTACGACCTTTTTTTATCAGAACACTAAAACAACATTCAAGGTTCACGCATATGGTTGGTTTGTCTACATGCAAGGGTGGACCCACTCTTGGACCTGGGTGGTCTCGGAACCATCCGGACATCCGAAAAAGCACGTGTGAGAACCTATGAGGACCACCCAATGGTGTGAGCGTG